AAAAAAAAAAAAAAAAAAAAAAAAAAAAAAAAAAAAAAAAAAAAAAAAAAAAAAAGAAAAGCTCAAAATGAAACTATTGACCTTTAAAAGAGTAATAAATATACTCCAAGATTATGGAGATACAAATTCCTTTTTCTTATCATATGGTTGTGAAAAAAGAATAGGAAAGCTTCATATCTGGAAGAAAATCATTGGGGGATGGGGCATAGCTCATGGTTACAGTAAAAGAAAACCCACAAGCTTTTACTTACCTTGTAACTGAGGGGGGTGGGAAATGCCTACTACTCCTAAACCTTCTTTCTTACTGCAGACTACAGAAGTGCCAACCCACATCCAGTAATATCCAGTTTCCTAACTCATAAACATCGAGGATGGAATCGACTGGAGTGAACGGGGAAACCGACTGCAACTTGGCATGGAGACGGACAGGTTCTGTGGTAGGGAAATAACTCCTCTCTACTCGTCTACCTAACAATCATACAACTTACTCGGACCAAAACTTCACGAATGCACCGATGAATGCTTTGAAGATTTCCAAAAGCGGGTTGTTTTCGGGTTTGGAAGAATTTTTGGACATCCCTTCCCATGATTCACTGAAAAAAAAAAAGTGGAAGATGAATATGTGGTTGAACTATTCGATAACCATGTAAAATGTTTTGACTAATTTGGATTGTAAAGAAAACTAGGGGGTACTGGATATGCTTACAGATTGATTCTATTTAATGTTGAGCCACCATTCTGTTCAGCCTCTACTTCATTTTCCATCTCTGTCTCCTCTTTGATTTTTGAGGTCTTGTCAAAGCTATTGCTGAATGCCTTATTGAGATTCTTGGTAACACTTGGAGAAGCATTAGGAGCCTGCAAAAGGTTCAGATTCAAATTTGGCTTTCAAAAACATGGAAACAAGCAAATGAACATCCAAACGTCATCCATGAAGTTTTAGATAAAGGAATTCTCTTTTCTTTTTCCTCAATCAAAAGTTTCAACTGGCCTCGAACGACTCGAGTAAAATTGCTTTTGTCTCCACAATCAGTCACAATCTGAAAGTCAACTCTGAGAAGTTATACCAATGCCCCAGAAATTTAAAAAATGTAGAACACTCACCTTGGTTTCACTAGATTTCTGGCCTTGTTCAGAGATCACAGGTATTGGAGTATCAGGACCCTCAACTTCATATATGCTACCTTCTTTCCTAGTTGATCCATTAGAGGTTTCAACAATTTGTGCTACCTCCACCAAATCAGACTTTGTTTCTGATAATGGAGCAGCACAATTTTCATCTGCTTTCTTGACTACATAACCAGAAGCCGTGGAATTATTACCTTTAATGTTAACCAAGCCAACATCTGATCCTAACTCCATGGTTTGACTCGGTTGCTTTTCTGAGGCGCTGGTTGAAATCAATGTCTCAGATCTTACATCTGAACTATTGACAGCCCAAGAAATCGAATCCAATGGGAATGTCTCTACCACGACATCTTTTGTAAAAGGAGTTACATGATTAAATGGCATTCCTGATTCCTCTCTCACCACTTCCTCTACTTTCTTGAGTTCATCAGAATCCTTGTCACTCATATCTGCCGGGCTGCCATTAATTAATGTCACATTCTGTGATCCCTGAATATTTGTTGAAGTGCATTGCTCATCTGACACGAAGATTGGTTCTTCATTTATGTATTGGTTGTAGTTGACAGGAGAATCAACTTCCTTTGATGATATCGTTAAAGGAGATTGAGGTTCAATAGCAATTGAGTGGAGTGGATTCTCTTCAAGTGAATGATCAGTGCTGTGCTCTTCTAATAACCACTTTCCTGGACCAAGGACTCTATTTTCTTGGATTATATCACGTACAATCTCTCGCACTGTATAGAAAGATCCACCAACTTCCTTGTGAGTAATGTTGAGCGAGGGGAAACTCCCATTATTTGATTCCTGATACCTGCAAAGCAACATGTTATGATCCTATTTCATATCTTTACTAATTAAATAAATTACACTATCTAGATTTAGTCATTAGCAAAAATAAGTTACTATCCGAAAGCTCAACTAGAAAACAGTGTCATAAGCAAACCCAAGAACGAGTGCCAAACATCAATGATCCAAGTTTAAACACGAACAGCCCAAATAAACCATGGAGTGAGAACATCGTCTAGCAGAACAAGGTTTTCTCGAGAAAGATATCATGCACATGGGAACTCTCTATAATTGTAGGTGAAATATCATCATGCAGGGACAATTAATAATTTGATGAACTAAACGATCCATGCGTTCTATAGAAGATCAGTAGAAGCAAAAATATGACTCAAAATTTAAACCATTGTATGGTTACTTTTTTATGAAGACTTCAACCATTGCCTTCCTTTCCTCCTTTGAACGCCGAATTCTAGTCTTCCTCCCTTCGGACTCATTGCTTTCGGCTAGGGCAAGAGGACGCCCTATCCACCCACCCTTTATAGCATGCATGAAATCCAAAAAATTCAACACTTCCTATAGCACAAACCTACAAGATAACAGAGCAGTAATCAGATGACCCTGTTCATATGAAGTTTGTTACAGAATGAATTGGATGTGATAAGAGCCACTGGAATTTCACAAATGGAATAACAAGATCAGTTAACAGATAATACAGAAACAGGCTGGCTTCCCTTTTAGAAATTATTATGAACAACCTGCATCATGTGGAGTGATTGCTTTATGTCTCTCAACTCTGAATTTTAACAAGATTGATATCACATATGTATACGAGAAGCCAACTTTAGTCCTGATCACAAATTCTGATATAGCACGTTCGATTATCCACTTTTTGAGCTACCAATTATTTGAAGTCAAAGATCATAAATGAAAATGAATAAACTGCTGCTTGCAGCAAGTTATCGTAACCAATTATTTGAAGTCAAAGATCATAAATGAAAATGAATAAACTGCTGCTTGCAGCAAGTTATCGTAACCAATTATTTGAAGTCGAAGATCATAAATGAAAATGAATAAACTGCTGCTTGCAGCAAGTTATCGTAACCAATTATTTGAGTCGAAGATCATAAATGAAAATGAATAAACTGCTGCTTGCAGCAAAAAATCTCACGATAACTGCCTAACTCTCTATATTTGGTAGTCAAGAAAACTTGTGGGTCTAGGTAGCTGATCAATTAATCCCCTTTACTTCTTCAGCCATTCGAATATGACCCCGCCAACCCCGAGTGGTTAACACCACTACCGTTGAATGAAAAGCTTAAACAATACAACTGGAGACAGGAAAGACTAACAATGATAAATTAACAGAACTCTAACGAATGACTTTAAGTTGAAAACTAAGTACAACGCGTCTGCATATATGCGCAGGGAAACAAACAAACCTAACCAAGATAACGATCCTGGACTCAAGAAGAGTTCAAGAACCAAATGTTCCATTGGTCAAAACACTGTTGTACCATATCTACAAATACACATTGTCCGTTCAGCCAAAATCACTCGCAATTGCAATATTATCGAGACGAACAGTTCAAAAATTAAAATCTCGGACAAAAACTAAAATTAGGATCAAAGCCAGGGAACAATCAAAACACCACATCCTTAACCACGACGAGCAAACCCAAATACACGTCAACGGCACATGAACCCAACAATTCTCCAAGAACCAGAGGCTATAGCAGAACTGGAGAAAGATGCCGATAAGAGCAATCCAGATAACAAACCCAAAGGACAAAATCTAACACTGCATGAAACTATGGCACTCATGAGAGCAAATGATACACTTATACAAGAGAAATGATCGCCATGGAAGGGGGCGGAGCCAACAGTGATAGAATCGCAGTGTAAAAGCAAGTCAATGATGCAAAAACTGAGAGAACTTTACCTGCAATCCGAGAGAGAGCGCGAAAATGAAAACGATAGAAGGAGAAAGAGAAATGAAGAGCTCTAAAACCCTACGGACGAGTTATGGTGAGCCACTGCGACGTTCACAAACATCCAACGCGAATGGGCAGGGGGCGGGAATGGCAGGTTTAAGAGATGAATGTAATTACGTTGAAATATATGTCCCATTGTTGTTGCTCTTGGATGGATTG